GTTAAGTAAAATCTCAGATCAGACTTTAAACAGCGATTACGTAACTGATCGTGGTGGTTATGCTAGGGGGGTTCAAATATTGTTCCGTGAACTGTACCGCAATTGTACTATATAGTACGTATACAAACACTTATCAGTTATAAATACGCAAAATAACAATAGCGATAACAGTTGAATGAAAGTCAAGTTTTAAAAAGCCAAAAGATTAGAACAGTTCTCACTACTATCAAGATGCACGCTTGTATATTATTATTTTTTTTAACTATTTTTTTTTTTTTTAACTATTTTATTTCTTTTTAAACTATTTTTTTTTAAACATTTTTTTAACTATTTAAATTATTTTTTCTTTTTACAACATTGTATTAGGAAGCTATTTATTATTAAGATATTATTTTTTTTTTACAAAAGTGAAACTTAATATTTTTTATAATTATTAAACTTATAATTCCGAAAAATGAACATACTAAAATATTCCGATATGCTGAGAATTTAACTTATTGGCAAGCAAATGATAATTAAGTTCTATTGATGTTGATCGTTATTAAATAAATTAAGCACGTGCTTAGCTACTAAAGTCGAAATATAGAATTTAAGATCATTGAAAAGTCAAAAATCTATGACAATTTGATTCGCAAATGATATCATTATGATTTAATCGTTGTGTTGAAAAACCAACCTAGCGTCACCCAAAAAATCAGTTACGTATCGGGATTTAAAAAATTAAACATCGGTACTCAGATAATAATCGATTGACCGATAAGCAATTATCGACCGTTACAAATTTTTTAATATATCTTTTTTTTTTTAATAAACCTCATAAGCCAGCATTATTTAATTCTTGGCTAAAACAAATATAACATTTATAGTAATTATATGTTTAAAAAAAACGCAAATAAAAAGAAAAAATTTTTTTATCTGAACTTTTTTTTTTAAAAAAAAATAAAAAAAATAAAAAAAAAAAAAATTATTGCCAATAAAAAGTGTTAGAATTACGCCCGTTCCATGTTTTTTTCAAAGTTTTGGCATTTTCAAACTTTTCTAAGTCATTTACCATCTTTTTAACAGGGTTCAGGTTTGTTTCAATAGAACTTAACCATTTTCTTCATTGAGGAAGAATTTCAGATTTTTCAATAAACTTAATTGCCTGTAAATTAAATTTGTATTAATAATTTTACCATATAATGATAATATCTTACAAATATACATGTGTACCTTTTCTAATACTGCTTTTAATTCGATTGCCTTATTATTTGTAATTTCTATATCAACATCACTAGTACTTGATGAATCATGTTCATCCATATTTAAATCAATCTCATCCATTTCATGATTAGTTAATTAGACAGGTAAGTTATCGCTATTATTAATAGCTTGCCAAATCAATTGTGTGGCTTCATAAAGCAATGGATACTGGTCATTTCGTTGTACATTTTTAAAAAATGAGTTTTCCATATTTCCTAAAGATGAAACTAAATGTTTGCACAGAGGAAACCAGTTTTTAAGAAATGATTGACATGAGCAAATCCAATGTGCATGGTCAGTAAAATACTTGTTGGAATTTTTTAATTCTCGGTCTACAAGTTTTTTCCACTTAGCTTTGAAATCTTTTCTCCAAAAAGGTTGGATTCTTTCAGTGACAAGAAGACTATAACAGTATATTAATCGTGGTAACATTTGATTAGTTATAATGTGACAAAGAACATCAAGACATGGTCAATTAAATTTGTGCAAAAAGTCATGTTTAAGGATTCTCCAATGAGATTTCAAGATCATTGTGGTGCATATAATTGATATATTTTTGTGAGCTAACAAGGTTCAAAGACACTAATAGTCCCATCGGTACCATTCTAACCACAAATAGCACTAGATATGAAATAAATTATGATAACAACAATATTGAAAGATTTTTTTAGTTACACATAACCAAATTTCTTTTGATATTAAAACAAATTCTGTCTGCCGTGGAAATTAGCATGTGACGATGAAAGTGTGTATCAACATATTCTAATATTTCATTTCGTAATGTTGATTCTAAAAAAACTTTTTTTTTAGAGCTTATATTATTGTTTTGTACTGGTTGCCATGATGAGTCAATTATTGAACACTGTTGATGGGCAATAGCAGTATTATAATGAGATGCATTACCATTATATTGTGAAGAAAGTTTTTGTTCAATTGCTTGTCACATGTGCCATTTGCATAACTGAATATCAACATCTTTCCAAATAGCCATACCACTACTAATTTGCGAAAAATCCTTATCAAAAAGGATTACTTTTACCTCTTTAAGTCCATTTTTTTTTAAAGATTTAAACCATGCAGTTATTGCTGCATGCATATCCTGTCCTTTTCCTGCTTCAATAAAACAATATGAAATTGGAAACCCTGTTCCATCTATAATCGCCATCAATGCATATAGCTTGTATTTTAATTGGTTTGTATTATAGGTAGCATCAACCATAACTGTATTAAATATATCTCTTGATAATTTGTTAAAAAACTCTGTTAAAAAGCTAAATACACACATCGGCTTATCCAAATTAAGTATAATATTATAACCTTTTTCATTTAAAAATAGCTTTGCAAATTCATATTGATCATCATGCCATCTATGGAATACTGATGATTCTCGTGCCCACCAAAAATATACTTGATCTACTGTCAAGTTTTCAAATCCATCAAGTTTTTTTGCTACAATTTCTCAATAAAGTTCTGATGCTCTAAGTATTAGATGTTCACGAATATATTGCTTAATTTGTTTTGTTACACCAATATATCATGGCTGTTGATAGAGCTGTTTGTGGTTAAGCTTAATATTTGCATATTTATTTATTAAGTCAATAGAAATCGAAAGAAGCCCTTCACATTCATATCTGGTTAAATATGTTCCAGTATTTCATTGCTTTGAAATATCATTATACTTTTTATGTCTTGAAACAAGTTCTTTATAACAATTACACCAGTAATAAAATGATTTTATTTGTGTTTTTTGTGACACTGATTTAGTACAGTATACATAATCATAACCATCTCCCTGCTCAACACACTTAATGATTTTGCTTGCAAGATATTGTTCATATTGATCTTGTTCAATTTCTAATGGAATTTCATCGATTAATTTATTTAAATTAATTGCTTGTTCAAAAAAAACTTGCAATTGCCTTCTAAATGTTCATCAATACTGTCCACGTTAATAAGGGCTTTATAAATTGTAGTTGTAATATTTTCTACATCTGTTGCATTTTCTTTAATAGTGGATAAGATAACAGCAATGTCATTTTTATGTTTTTGGTGTTTACTGTTTTTAATACGCTCTAAGCATTCATAACAAGTTTTTTTTTTCATAAAAAGCCGCCAATATCTTGTAGGTTCGACATGAGTTACAATATAAAACATCCATTTCAACTTTTTATTTTTATTTTTATTTTTTTTCGCTCAAGAATAAATATAATTGTAATTAATAACGATAATCGTAATTAACAAAATAATGATATAAGCTTTTCATGACGCACATCACATGAAAATTACAGATATTAGCGTTATACAAAACTATCGGAATTATTATTGTTGAGTTTTAAAACGTAACTGATCTTTTGGGCGACGCTTGGTTTGTGGTGTTGAAATGCAACCGGAGTACAAATATAAAGAAAATCTTAATTTCGCTCATTTAACAAACAAACAAACAAACAAACAGACGAATGATCGGCCGTTAAACCCACAATAATGTTTTTTTTTTATTAGATTAAATATATAAAATTTCTATTTTTATGATATTATTAATTTAAGAAAAAAATTAATCATACTACAAAACATAATAAATCTATTATGATATGTATTGTGTTTCTAAAATAAATAATTAATGAAAAAATTTCTAATTATTTTTTTTAAGCAAGGTGTAAATTAGAACGTTTATGATTTTTTTTATACTCAAAAAATTTTGCTTTGGTGATTTAATTTATAAAATTCATAATTGGCCTTTCAATAGCCTTATGAAAGCACCATGATAAAACAATCGTCACCACAATTGACAACATTACAGCATCTAAAATATCATTAACTTTTTCATCATCTTCCGTTTCCCTCGCCGCCCCTTGTACTCCTATAGTTGTCGCATAATTATTCACAATTGTAAGTCCAATTGGATGAAGCAAGTATGTGCTAAATGAAATTTTTCCTGAAAAACAAAGTAAATTCCACGAACATGCATTAACGAAAGAGCTATTGCGGGACAAAAGCCCTGCAAGAATTAGAAAGGCATACAAAAAACCTCCAGTATAAAGTTCTATTAATAAATTTTTAGGCATGCCAAAAACTTTTGAGGCTAAGTGAGGCATTGTGCAAATAATTATAAAAAAAATGAAGTAGCATGTCCAATCAAAAAAACGTCTGATAATCCAATGATGACTCGGTAAATTATTAATAATATAACTACCACAAACACGTTTTCTAGAGCCTTTTCCTCTTCTAAACTCAATGGTAATAAACCATGTCTAATAATTTCCCTATACCATATCGCACATATAGATCCGCTTAAAAAGTAATGTGCCGAACCTGAGAGATGTAAAGATTCATTTGGATCATGATATATTACTATTAATGTTCTTAAAACAAAAATTATTATGTTGCCAAGTATTCGACCCGCCCATGCTCCAATATCTGGTCTACCAAATAATTTATTTGATAAAGAAACTCTCATACGAGTTATTCCAACGTAACCAATAACAATGATTGGTATGAATAAATAGTACTATAATATATATTATTTTTTTGTTAATTAAAATTCTAATACATAATTTGAAAAAAAAGTTTGCATATACCATCATTTCCGGAGGAATGCTCCAAAAAATAAATTCTGCTGATTGAAGAGTCAAATGTAGTAATAAATTTGATGTTTTTATAGCGTTATAATATGCTTTTCCTATTGGATCAATGTACACGATACTTAGCAAAACAATCGAATATGTTGGATATATTCTCATAATTCGACGAAAAAAGTATTTTAACCAGAACTTTATTGCAGAATGGTCTAGGCACTTAAATAAAGATCTGTCTTTTTTATTATTATTGACAGTGATTAGTTCTTTTAATAAAAAATTTAAAGAATTGAAAAGAAAAAGAAATAAGCATTCATCAGAATTCATCTTTCATCGTCATTAAAAAAAATAAACTTAATTAATTTACCTTCTTCATCCAATATTTTGCCATATAACATTCCTTTTTCCACAAAACTTTGTTCGATCCAATTATCATAATATTGTTCCCAATCCAATAATGCACGGAAGGTAAGTAAAAAGGCAGAAAGCACAAAAAACAATGTACGGCATCAAATCCTAGCATTGTAAATGTCGTAAAAGGTAATACTTGTTTATACAGTATAAAGTTTGAGAATGTGAATATACAACCGATAGGGCAGCTGCCCCACGGATTCCATCGAGAAATTTAAAGTAAAAATCTGAATGTGCTGACATTTTTAGCGTTAGTTTCCTGTTTTGCTAGTGTTGTAAAAATATTTTGTTAAATTTTTCCATGTGTATATTTTTTTGTATTTCGTTATTAAGTGGAGATCTGGGTTTGGAACCACAGATCTTGGTCCGAGACCACAGATATTGGTCTGAGACCACAGATCTTGGTCCGAGACCACCGATAGTGGCCTGAGACCACAGATCTTGGTCCGAGACCGTCTTAGTCTAGGAATGTACAGTATAAATATTACGCTTGTGTTAATAGAAAGCGGAAGATAGAATAGAAGATAGATGGTCAATAAGTCAAACTAAATAAATAAATACATTCCTTAATAACCCTCTATCATTAATTCCGAATCCCCCTAAAGAACATTCATCTCGCATAACCTATGTTTACACCCTGAGCTAATTTGACCTCACATTAGCCAAGTCTCTCCCACGGTTGTAACACTAGTTATAGCAAGAGATCTACTACTACTGGGTAATTTCTAGGAAGGGAATCTAAAACCGTGTTCCGTTACACTATTTTATTCTTGCTTAGCGTTAGGTTAGGGCCGACTTATCGTTATTGTGCGCGGGTAATACAAACCCAAAAAAGCATAAATAATTCAGATATGTTGTATAATGCACGCATGTAAATATCATCGTACATATCTGATATATATTTGACATGTACGATCGAACGAATGTACGCACTTACAATGCTTACATACGATTTTTAAACTTAAACATCATTGTATGGTATTAAAATTTTTATAATAGAATAGCATATTTTTGGTCCAGATATTTCTATGAATGAAAGGATTGAATTTGAATTATATCTGAAACTTGCTGAAAGTGGGGATTCAAATGGACAATTTAATCTTGGTTCCTACTATCAAAATGGTATAGGGACGACCAAGGATGAAAAAAAGGCATTTGAGTGGTATTTAAAATCTGCTGAAGGTGGCAATACTGATGGACAAAATAATCTTGGTTTCTGTTATAGAAAAGGTATAGGGACGACCAAGGATGAAAAAAAGGCATTTGAGTGGTATTTAAAATCTGCTGAAGGTGGCAATACTGATGG